ACGAGATACGTATCACGTTTTAACAAGATAACTATCACGTTTTAACAAGATAACTTTCACGTTTTAACGAGATACGTATCACGTTTTAACAAGATAACTATCACGTTTTAACAAGATAACTATCACGTTTTAACAAGATACGTATCACGTTTTAACAAGATAACTCACGTTTTAACAAGATAATTATCACGTTTTAACAAGATAACTATCACGTTTTAACGAGATACGTATCACGTTTTAACAAGATAATTATCACGTTTTAACAAGATACGTATCACGTTTTAACAAGATAACTCACGTTTTAACAAGATAATTATCACGTTTTAACAAGATAACTATCACGTTTTAACGAGATCCGTATCACGTTTTAACAAGATAACTATCACGTTTTAACGAGATACGTATCACGTTATAACGTGATAGCGCTCGGATTTTTTTTTTCCTGCCTGATAGCAACACGCTTCCATACAGAGCAGCTCTGTCACAGTGGTTCTAAATATAAACAAGCAGTGAAGAATCAAAGTTGTTGTAGTAAAACAGGACATGGGGCAGAACACTATAACTTGTGAAATGTTGTAGAATAGGAGAGCAAAAACATGACGGACCAACAAACTGAATGTTGTGCAGCCTTTGCACGAGCAGCTTGGTCACGCACACAAAGTTGGACACATCTGTTGGATAACGGCGCTCTGAGCACAAATATTTAATATAAAGTTAGGTTTTATAGACTAAAGTCCAAGGAGAGAAATGAGGGAGGAGAGGTTTCACTCAGGACTGACTCTGCTCCTGCAGACTGCTTCACCTGCTGCTTTACTGACCCGCCCTGCCCTGCTCTGATTGGATAAAAGTGCTCTGGGGTTTGTTTCAGTTGTTGAAAGTAGTGGAGAGTTTAGAGGTAGACTGGGCGGCTTTAACAAGACCGCAACAGAAAACAACCATAGTTATTGTTTTTGTCTCCCTTACAGATGATGGAAATCCGTCCTGGTCACGTTCAAAGTGACGGAAATCCGTCGTGGCGATGGAGAACTTGAAGCCCTGGGGTGTTCATGTAATTACATTGTGCTCAGTACAATGACAAAGGTATCATCAATTAATCAATTGATTGATACTGTGGCTCTTGATACATCACAAAGACTTGATGTCTTGGTAACAGATGCACCAACAAGACATGCACCAACAATTTGTCCTCTTTTGAACTCTGGTATGTCACCCATAATGTTGTGTGCATTGTAATATTTTGAGCCAAACTGTGCTCTTACCCTGCTAACTGCACCTTCACACTCTGCTCTTACTGGAGCAATTAATGAAGACTGACCACCAGGCTGATCCAATCATGAAACCTCCCACAGTAAAATGACAGGTGTTTCAGTTTCATTGTCTAACCCCTGTACATTGTCATGGACCCATCAGAATGGGAGAATGACCCATCATTCCAGTCATCAAGGTAGGTTCTGTGTAGCATTAGGATGTCAACGACTTTACTAAACAGGGAACTCATCCAGGATTACAATCAAGTGATCAGCAGTGGCAAAACATGCTGCAAGTTGTTAGGTGGCATCCATGTCAGTTCCTGGAAGTGAAGAAAGTCATGACCAAATGCCAATCTTCATGACTGTTCTCACCAAATATGTGAACAATAACACTTTATTTTTTATTTGTTCATTTATTTTATATTTATCTTGTAAGCTTATGTAAATGAGGGATGATTGTTGTCCATCCATCCACTATCTTCTTTCTTTCAACATCATAGGGGGGTTTCTGGTGCCCACAGCAACCACTGTGCAAGGGGTCACAAGTCCATCATAGGGCCACATAGAAACAAACAACCATACATTCACACCCAGGGACAATTTAGTTACCAATTTTGTTTTTGAGTTGTGGGAGGAAGCCAAAGTACCTGGAGAAAACCCACACACTCAAGGGGAGAACATGCAAACTCTACCCAGAAGGGTCCCCGGGCCGGGATTTTATCCAGCAACCTTCTTGCTGAGAGGCATCTGCTCTACCAACTGAGCCACTATGCTGCCTCGGTTTGTATTTCATACAGTATCTAAACAAGCATGTTGGCACGCACAAATGAGCTCAATCGTTCTAATTTTCACTCCACCTGTGGCAGTGGATAGAAAAGTCGTTTCGACACAAAATTTGGTACAAAAGATTTTCTTTGCAAAATGGACAATTTAGTCAGAAAGTACCTTAAAAAAGTCACATTTGTATTTTTGGCATACTGTAGAGCAGTGGTTCCCAAACATTTTGTCTTCTGACCCACAAAATATCCATGGCAAAAA